AGTGCACCGTCAAGAGAGGTACTTCCGTAAACGACGAATATTATATAAAGATAATAAAAACAATAACCAGACAATTTCGTTATGTGGGTAGCCATTGACAATTTTGTGTCAAACCAAGAGCCGAGGTTTCTAGCAGAGGAGACTGCTGAGACGTGGCAATCATCCACTCGTACGCGATGAGAATTAACTTTAGCCAACTGCTGAGGTGTTCCTATAACCAAAAATTCAGACTTATCATCCTTTATAGCTTAAGACTGTCGGTTAACATCCACGAGCGAATATCATCAACACAGGAATCCAAAGCACTTAAGGCGGAAAGCTCATCAATAGCGTCATTAGGACAAAAAGAAAAATATAATTGAGTATCGTCTGCAAAACGGTGAACGTCAGGCAAATGCGACTGAACAATCTGAAACCACATACTAGTGTAGAGTGTGAATAAAAAAAGACCCAGACAAGATCCCAGCGGAACACCACAATCCAAGTTGAATCTTCTTGAAAGTTCACTGTTTACCGAAATGCACTGGGCACGATCGCGACCAGAGAGGTAAGATTGTAACCATGAAAGGACCTTGCCTTGAATACCAAAGGAGTTTCCTAATTGTCGTATGAGCGTGCCGTAATCCACAGTATCAAAAGCAGCACTCAGATCAAGGAGAAGAAGTAAAGTCACACGTTGTTTATCCATATTAAGTAGAATATCGTTTACGACATTCAACAGAGCAGTTTCAGCACTGTGGTGAAGGGACGTGTCGAAAACGAAGACCTACGACCTAAGACCCACTGGTCTAAAACGAAGACCCTGTGGTCTAAAACGAAGACCCTGTAGTCTAAAACGAAGACCCTGTAGTCTAAAACGAAGACCCTGTAGTCTAAAACGAAGACCCTGTGGTCTAAAACGAAGACCCTGTAGTCTAAAACGAAGACCTGTTGTCTAAAACGAAGACCCTGTGGTCTAAAACGGAGACCCTGTGGTCTAAAACGAAGACCCATTGTTCTAAAAACCTTTTTTTTTTTTAGGAAAGGCTATACACTAAGCTCAATTGCTCTCATTTCTGTAGCGCATAAATTAAAATGTCATCTGAGCGTGCGACCACCTTGACAATTACGTTATCTCAGTCGGTACGACACGTGTCAAATTGTGTAACGGAATTAATTTCTAAGAATACAGAAATATACGTTTTTGTGACGATTTTGGTATATTTTGTCGTCCCAACATTCTATTTTTCAAATGCATATTGAGCAAATTACGATGAGGTGACTTCAATCCAGTTCGGGACATATTCCTGCTAACTGCAAGGTTATTCGTCTCGAAGCCCCCTTGGAATCTGGCTCTGTTTACTCGTTTGTGCCGGCTTTTATTCTCTCCAATGTGATGTCTCTCTCACCAAAGATTGACGAAGTTCGAGTGTCCATTTCCTGAATGCAAATCTGGATTTCATTTGCATCACGGAAACATGGCTCAAAAACCACATGGATGACAATTTCGTGTTGGTTCCGGGCTACAATATCATTCGCAGAGACAGGGTAACTAGCGATCATGAAGGCATTAGCATGTACGTCCGCGATTCTATCCGATATGATGTTCTATCCGACCTTATGGACGAGAATTTTGAAGTTTTATGGGTTAAAATCCGCCCCAAACGGTTCCGGCCCTAGGAGCATACCATCTATTATTGCTGGAACTATTTACCATCCGCGGAGTGCAACCGACTCCTTGATTTTAAAGTACCTGTACGAGTCACTATCAAAAATCGAAGCCATTTTTCCTGACTGCGGCCTCTTTCTTTTGGGGGATTTTAACAAGTTAAACTGCTCTCGTCTAGGGAACGCCTTCGGTCTCCGCCAAATTGTCCCCTTTCCAACTCGTGGGCAAAGTAAATTAGATCTAGTCTCCACCAATCTCAGCGCCTTTTACGATGTGCCCAAAAAGTTGCCTCCTTTTGGGTTCTCCGACCACGATACTGTGGAAGTACAGCCTCTGGCTAGAAGGCATGGTCCGAGGAACAAAATCCAGCTGAAATCCAGAGACTTGCGGACAACAAGTCGTCTGGCCATGCGATCAAGATTGCTTCCACCGCCTTCGGAACCGTGTTAATAGCTTGCGGAAGTCTTGTCGCGCTAAATACTACGAGTCCAAAGTCGAACATCTGAGGAACTACGAACCGCGTAGGTGGTGGAACGAAATTAAATCACTTGGCGGGATGCAATCAGCTACACGCACAGATCCTACCTCTGTCATGAAGCATATTGATACAGGGCCTGACTCTAGTCGTACGGCCCTTGCTAACGTCATTAACAATGCCTTTCTTGCTCCAATGAACTCTTTTACTCCATTGGATTCTGGAGTCTCGTTTGCTGTGCAATACACCGACACACCAACGGTTACTAAATTCTGTGTCTTGAAGAAGCTCATCGCCCTTAATCCTGCCAAAGCTTCTGGGCCTGACGGCGTGCCCGCCTGGCTTTTGAAAGAGAACGCCGACCTATTGGCTCCTGTGGTTACTTATATTCTTAATAGCCCATACTTGGAGGCTCGTCTCCCCCAGTCCAGGAAGCTCGCCAACGTCGCCCCTATTCTTAAGCAGACCCCTGTTTATGACGTTAAGAAACACCTGAGACCAATTTCACTTACACCTGTCCTTTCCAAGCTGACTGAGGACTCTGTGGTTGATCGTTACGTTAAACCAGCTGTACTCGCTAAGGTCGAGCCTCGGCAGTTTGGCACTGTTCCCTGTTCAAGCACCACCGAAGCCCTAATTAGTATGACTCATGCATGGTACAGTGCTACTGACGGTAACGGGGCGTCTGTGAGGGTGATTCTCTTCGATTTTAAAAAAGCCTTTGACCTAATCGTCCAGCAGATTTTGGTCAATAAGCTGGGTACATATAACATCCCCAATGCTGTCATCTCATGGATTATCGACTTTCTCACCTCGCGCAAACAGCGTGTTCAACCCGGCCACNCAGTTGTCGTCCTTTTTTGATATTTTTCTTACTTGGCTGGAAATCTGCGATTGGTTAAGGTTTAAAAAAACACTTGAATGAGAAGTTCAAATTAACAGTAGCAGTAACACATTCAAGGGAATACATCAATAAGACAAACCTGGACATAGACCACAAGTCTTTCGACACATTCCACGGACTGATGGATTGGAACACAATCCATCATCAAAGTACCGTTGGCAAAGCGTGTGTGATGCAATGTTCCCACAGACTGTAATAAATTATGCATGAAATATAGGCTCTACTCCTAAGTACTTAAATGAGTAAACAAATGCGTGGCAGTTTTTAAGCGAGTTTTTTGCAATCTTGACTGTTACGACCTTAATTGGTTTCTGGTGCAGAAGGCGACAAACGTACCCGGGGGGGTACTCCCTTATAAGGGCTTAATGGGGACGTGCGGCCAGCCAGGGTATGTTTTTCGAGATTTTTTTCTTAAACAGGGTATGGAGTTTATCATTTTTTGTCTTAATCAGGGTATCAATTTATCAATTTTTGTCTTAAACAGGATATCTTTTCTTGGAAGATAAACAGCAAAATTTTTACAAGCTCTAATTTTAATTAATATTGAATTCCGTTGATTTTGGCATTGATACCAGACGCATTATATGTCTTAAACAGGGTATCAAAAATCGGAATTCTGTCTTAAACAGGGTAGGAAAATCAGCGATATTTGTCTTAAACAGGGTCAGGGTATGAGGGGCCGCGCCGCATCTCCCCACCCAGGAATATATCGAGTACCCCCCGGGACTTTATCCGTCAGCTTTAAAGACCTGGCTCAAAGCTCATCTGTGCGTGACTTGCAAAGCTACGTGAATAATCTTGTACGATCAAATACAGCACATGTAATGTCCCCGGGAAAATTTGTAATTGATTATATATTAGCCAAGTGTAAAAACGAACAACAGTTTTAAAACTGTCGCGGCTTTGGTATCGGTAAAAAATGTCATACACCAAATTTGAAAGCTACATTTTAGTCTCATCACACAAATCAGTTTGACTTTTACGGAACTGGCTCTTCATTTTGTATCAGACCACGTTTACATTTCAAAGGCTTGTGGTTATATATGGCTGTCTGATAAAGGTGTCGCGTAGGTCAAAAGATGACATTTCTGTCAATTTTTGTTAAATGAACAGTCCTCGCATTAGACTGTGTTCATTTCAGTCTCTCGGAGTTGGAGTAATAATTTTTGTTCTAGATAGCACAGCTCAGATGTTTAAAAGGGTTCACACTGGCGCGCTTAAGCTAACGCTAGGGACGCCTGCATGAAATTTCATTCTCAGCGCAGGGATGCATACGAGAGTGACGATTTAATCTTCCCGGGAAAATCACTTTCTGGCGGGAGATCATCCTTGTAGCCTGTGCTGAATAAATTTGTGAGTCACGCACAGTTGACCTTTGCGCCTTTATATGATAAAGACAGTGTAGTAAAGTAATGAAGTGACTTCATCGTAATTTGCTCAATATGCATTTGAAAAATAGAATATTTGTGACGACATATTATATACCAAAATCGTCACTAAAACGTATATTTCTATATTCTTAGAAGTTAATTGCGTTACACAATTTGACATATGTTGTACCAACTGAGATGACGTAACTGTCAAGTTGGTCAAGCGCTGAGATGACATTTTAATTTATGCGCTACAGAAATGAGAGCATTTTAGCTTAGTGTATAGCTTTTCCTTGCAAAAAAGGTTTTCAGAACAATGGGTCTTCGTTTGAGACCAGTGGGTCTTCGGTTTAGATAGATAGATAGATAAGATAGATAGATAGATAGATAGATAGATAGATAGATAGATAGATAGATAAATAAATCGTTTATTAAAAAGAAACAACTCGCAGTCCGAAGACTGAATTACGTGTATAATATACAATACAAGAAACAAAATTCATAGTTAAAATGGTTCGAAAATCTTAATAATAAAAATATACAAATCTAATAAAAAGGTTTCACTTAGGATGATCTTGTGTTAAAAAAATATACATACTTAAACATATATATTTACATCCTTAGGCTATGGCTAACAATAAAGGATTTTTTAAAACGATCAGTCTTGCACAATGGCAAGTTAAACTTCCTATTGCTGCGCAGCTGCCTGTGGTGC